GCCTAGAGCCTGTGCTCCACAACAAGAGAAGCCACCGCAATGAGAAGCCCGCGCACCGCAACGAAGAGTAGCCCCTGCTTGCCGCAACCAGAGAAAGCCCGCACGCAGCAACGAAGACCCAATGCAGCCAAAAATAAATAAACAAATTTATTTTTTTAAAAAAAGAAGCAAGGAGAGAAGCAACAGACAAGGCCTCATGCTGAGAGTGTGCAACTTGATGATAGGACAGGTATGAAAACTAGATAAGGACTCAGTAGTGCAAGGTGTACATCTGTGTGTAGTAATGCTATTTTGAAACCTTCCCTCTCTATGGCGTGTCGCACCATGCTTGGTTATTAAATCCTCAAATGGTTTCTCTATCCTCCTACTCTTTTTTCAAGCACCACTACACAAACATCAGCAGAACCAAAACAGTAACTACCTGTATGAAGTTGCTGCCTTGGTATATCCAGTTTGGAATAAATGAGACCCACAGGGAATCCTGAATGAGAGTTTCTTTTCAGGGTAGTATTTTATTTCCCCAATCAATTTGCAGAATGCTGGGATAGTAGAGAAAGTTCTCAGATAAGTGTCCAACTCCCATAACATGATTCTAAATTAAATCCTGGGTAGGAAAAAAAAAAAAAAAAACCCACCAGAGACGAACCACCTCTACACATTATGAAAAGAAAATATTTTTGTCGATTCTTATTCTTTTATAATTATGCGTGTAAGAAGTAGACTCATTAAACGATTCCAGATGGAAGCGTCGTCACCTGCCTGAGGTTCCTTCTGAACCCCTGGGGCTGGTGATGGGGGCTCCTTGAGTGGGCAGGGGTCCTGGGAGGAGGCTGAGCCAAGGGCACGGCAGTCCTTGCAGTCGAAGGATGGGGGCGCTGCTTGCTCAGCGGTGCTGCCCTGGCACGAAGTGGGGGGGTGGGGCGCCACCCCTCAGCCAACTGGCCCAGTAAGGACAGTCCCAGAGGTCCTGAGGCAGCCCGTGGGTGCCTCCGAGTTGCCCAACCCAGGGTGTCACGGGTGGCCTGGCCCTTACTTCCTTTTGCACCTCTCCTTGTCCAGAGACGACTCAGCGGTTGGGGGTCAGGACACACCGACAAGGAAGGGCAGGCCGTGCCCCTCTTCATGTCTATCCTAACAGCTGAGAGACTAGGAGACCGGAGACCATGCCTGCGCAGAGGGCACTCTTGGTACTTGAGTTTCTAACAGCACGGTGGCCTCTCCCTGTGCCATCAGCCACTCCATCCTTTCGGAAAGTCCAGTTTTTTGTTTTTTTTTTTTTTTTTTGATGGCTTAAAGAATAAAACAAACCAGTACAAAAGGATATAGAGAGGAAAAATACGCCCTCCCTCCTGAGAGGTAACCCCTCCCCAGTCTCTCTTTTTAATACCTGCCTTCTATTCTGCCCTGTGAATGTGCCATAATTTATTTTGCCAGGCACCTATCAAGGGATAACATAGATTATTCTGGGCTTTTCGTATAAATCAACAGACTTTGTCAAGGGCCAGATAGTAAACATTTCAGGCTTTGTAGGCCAGGCAGTCTCTGTTGCAACCGCTCAACTCTGGCCCTTGCAGTTCAAAAGCAGCGACGGGTGATGTGTGAATGAGTGGGCGTGGCTGTGTGCCAATAAAACTTTATTTACAAAGCCACACAGCCGGCCAGATTTGGCCCACAGGCTGTAACTGACCAAACCCCTGGGTATAAAGGATCCTACAACAAACAGCCTTGTACATGGTTGGGGCATATGTCTGAGTGTATAGGGTAAATTCCTAGAATTACAAAAAGGCATATTCATTTTTAATTTTGAAGAATATTGCAAATTATCTTCTAAAGAGTGCCTCAGTGTACACACTTCTTTTTTTTTTTTTGCGGTACGCGGGCCTCTCACTGTTGTGGCCTCTCCCGTTGCGTAGCACAGGCTCCAGACGCGCAAGCTCAGCGGCCATGGCTCACGGGCCCAGCCGCTCCACGGCACGTGGGATCTTCCAGGACCGGGGCACGAACCCGTGTCCCCTGCATCGGCAGGCGGACTCTCAACCACTGCACCACCAGGGAAGCCCTGCCCACCTTTCTTTTGATCTGTTGACCTCACTGATTTGTAGACACTCTTTATATATGAAGCAAATCAGTCCATGGTCATACACATTGCAAATTGAACTGTGTTGCTGATCTCTAACAGTTTTATGGGTAGGAATCTCAGCCAGTGAATGTTTAAAATCATCTCAGGAACAAGAAAATGTCTTGCCCTTAATCCACTGTGAAAGAAAGTGGAGAGGCAACTAGTCACAAGTCACAGAATGACAGAAGCTGGTGAGAAAGGGAGCACTGGGGTTGCCCCCCGACAGTTTTATGGGTAGGAATCTCAGCCAGTGAATGTTTAAAATCATCTCAGGAACAAGAAAATGTCTTGCCCTTAATCCACTGTGAAAGAAAGTGGAGAGGCAACTAGTCACAAGTCACAGAATGACAGAAGCTGGTGAGAAAGGGAGCACTGGGGTTGCCCCCCGAGGCTGGCAGCCCACCGCCCCGCAATTGCCTCAAGCAGGAACTTTTTGGGGGTGGGGGGGTGGGGGGGTGGGGCGTGCCTCACAGCATTCGGGATCGAACCCACACTACCTGCAGTGGAA